GGCCGCTCACAGGCTTTTAAGACTCCAGACACTACTCACCAAGGTAGAATGTAGAGCATTGTCTTTATAAGCTGTGTCATGCCAGTTGAGCTAGATGTTCCCCGAGACAATGGTCCCCACCCAGAGCTGTAATTTTTATGGAAACAGACTGCCACCTCTTTCTCCTGCGGAGTGGCTGGTAGGTTTGAACTACTGACCTTTTGGATAGTAGCCACCGGGGCTCCCTTCTTCTTGAGGTGGTGAAAATATTCTAAAATCCACTGTGGTGATGATTGTACATATCTGTGAATGTACTAAAAATCATTGAGTTGTATACTTTAAATGGGTGCATTTTGTGGTATGTGAATTATGTTAGTAAAAGTGTTATTTAAAAAAAAAAAAGCAATGTTTAAATAAGGGCCTTTGAAACCAGCTAATTGCCTTACAGGGGCTAATTTCTTTGAATTTGTTATTATAAAAGCTTGTTTATACTCAGAAAATGTCTAAACATATGCTTAAAGTAAAACAAGGAAGAAAATATTATATATTTTATCAGTTTTCACTTCCCCTAAATTTGCTGATACTGTGAAGTTTGCCTGAACCAGATGCTTAGTTCAAAAAATTTTTTTTTAGTTCAAAACTTTTTACATTTTCTTTTATAGATAACACAATGGTGGGTGAAGAGAAGACTTTTCTAAGAAACCGGCTATACAAGCCCAGTGAAAACCCTGAGGAAGATGAAGTCGAGAGAAAGCCTAAAAAGGAGTCTCTAGAGATACCTAATAATGGTGAGACTTTTAATTTTTTGAGGTGTATTAATGGAATGGAGAACGAAAGCAGTTTTCTAGGACAGGGATTACTCTCTTCAGCTCTCTTTCTTATAAATGGGTGCTGCTGGTAGACAGTGTAAAGGTGCAGGAGGGAAAAATAAATTGATAGAATGGAAGGAAAGACTTTGATTTACATTCCAGTCATAGCTGCCTTAGATTCTACTGGTGAGATATCTATTTCCCCCTGGACCCCTCCCCCCAGTTGCTGTAGAGTTGATTCCAACTCATGGCAACCCCATGTGTGTCAGAGGAGAACTATGCTCCACAGAGTTTTCAATGGCTGTAATCTTATGGAAGTAGATCACCAGGCCTTCTTTCTGCAATGCCATTGGGTAGATTCCAACAACCAACCTTTTGATTAGTAGCTGTCTTGGTTATCTAGTGCTGCTATAACAGAAATACTACAAGTGGATGGCTTTAACTAAGAAATTTATTCTCTCACAGTCTAGTAGGGTAGAAGTCTGAATTCAGGGTATCAGCTCCAGGGGAAGGCTTTCCCTGTCAGCTCTGGAGGAAGTCTTTGTCATCAGTCTTCCCCTGGCTTAGGAGCTTTTCTGCACAGGAACCTTGGGTCCAAAGGACGTGCTCTGCTCCCAGTGCTGCTTTCTTGGTGGTATGAGGTCCCCACGTCTCTGTTCGGTTCTCTCTTTTATATCTCAAAAGAGATTGGCTCAAGACACAATCCAATCTTGTAGATTGAGTCCTGCCTCATTAACATAACTGCTGCTAATCCCATCTCATCAACATCATAGAGATAGGATTTACAACACATAGGAAAATCACATCAGATGACAAAATGGTAGACAATCACACAATACTGGGAGTCATGGCCTAGCCAAATTGATACACATTATTTTTTTGGGACACAATTCAATCCATGACAGTAGCCAAGAGCAAACAGTTTATGCCACCCAAAACCAAAAAAACCCCACTGCGTCAAGTCAGTTCCAACTCATAATGACCCTATAGGACAGAGTAGAACTGCCTCATATGGTTTCCAAGGCTGTAAATCTTTACGGAAGCAGACTGCCACATCTTCCTCCCGCTGAGTGGTGGTGGGTTCGAACCGCCGACCTTTGGTTAACAGCCAAGCGCTTTCACCACTGAGCCACCAGTGCCCCTTTATGCCACCCAGGGACCCTAATTCCTCTTATGGTAGATATGACATGTATAATGAGAGTAATTAGCAGGGTACCTAATCTAGTTAAAGAGGTTATCAAAGACATATTTCCCCCATTCAGTACCGATCTATAAAATCTTGGAAAAGATGAGGGAATTTTATCAGTGTTTATATTAGAGTTTGCTGAATGCATGACTGCAAAGAAGAGTTTGATACAGTTCTTAAGGTCACGATTAGTAGTTAAGATTTATAGACGTGTAAACACAACTCTTATTATGTCATCTATTGCATCAGGTATTTATTTTTGCAGTAACATTTGTGTAGGTTTGATCTCAACGAGGATTTGAAATTTGAGGCTTGTTTGATTAATAGGGTGGCACTTCCTGAGAAAGGTTGTCTTTGGCATACCAAGACTTCTTTCATAAAGAAGTATTCTTTTTCTTTTTTGTCTTTTTTTTTTTTTTACTGTACTTTAGATGAAGGTTTACAAAGCAAACTAGCTTCTCACTAAACAATACACATATTGTTTTGTAACGTTGGTTGCCAACCCCATGACGTGTCAACGTTCTTCCCTTCTCGACCTTAGCCTCCTCATTACCAGTTTTCCTGTCCCCTCCTGCCTTCTCGTCCTTGTCCCTGGGCTGGTGTGCCTGTTTAGTCTCATTTTGTTTTCTGGGCCTGTCTAATCTTTGGCTGAAAGGTGAACCTCAGGAGCGACTTCAGTACTGAGCTAAAAGGGTACCAGGGGGCCATACTCTCGGGGTTTCTCCAGTTTCTGTCAGACCAGTAAGTGTGGTCTTTTTTTTTTTTTTGAGTTAGAGTTTTGTTCTACATTTTTCTCCAGCTCTGTCCAGAACCCTCTATTGTGATCCCTGTCAGAGCAGTCGGTGGTGGTATCTGGGCACCATCTAGTTGTGCTGGACTCAGTCTGGTGGAGGCTGTCGTAGTTGTGAAGAAATACTCTTGCTCTTCCTACTTAAATTTAATTGTAAATGTCAGCTGCTGGATCCCATCAGGGATATAAATACTGCTGCTTAAGTTTGCATAGTCAAGTTTATTGGGTGTTAGATGCTTTTTTTTTTTTTTAAATCTTGGTATATATAGGTAACAGAACATTTGCCAGTTTCACAGTCTTTACGTGTACAGTTCAGTGACATTATGTTCATTATGTTGTTCAACCTGATTGTTAGCCTCTTAATTAGCAATTTATGGAATATATATATTGCATATCAGCTAGGTTTAAAGTAATCTAAAGTATAAAATTGGTGAAAAGGGATGAGCCAACATTGGGAGAAACATTCCTTTCCATGATGTGGGGACTTGTTGATAATCCATGCTGTCTTCCTTGCCTGCGTTCCTACACATTAGAAGCTTCATGTTATTTTGTTTTTCAGTTCTTGGAGACAGAAAGTATTTTTGTTGAAACTTTCTGTCACTAAATATAATTCTTTATGTCCCAATATTAAAAAAAGCTTTTAAATCACTCTAATTTCTACATAGTTCTAGTACTCATTGGTATTGTCTTAGTTCGTTAAGTTTTAATCATTCCAGGTTTTAGTGTAGATGTTAAAAATTGAACCATTTAGCTTAAATCAAGAAGTGTGACCTCATTGGTTTAATGTAAGTAATGCTGGTCTGCAAATAGAACGTGTTTCTCTACTTTTGTTTTTCCCACATTTGTTCACCTTGGGGAGTAAGAGGATGAATGAAATGTGGCCCTGGAGCAGCAAGGGCTTAAAGGATACCAATCCATACCAGTCAGTGTGGCCCACCAGCCAGGTCCAGTGGCATCTGCACCACCTGGGAGCTTGTTAAAAATGCCCTACCTCAGAGCTATTGAATACAATTTTTAGTTTAATAAGTTCCCCAGGTGATACGTATATACAAGTTACAGTTTGAGAGTGCTCTAAGTGGCAGTGCTCAATTGGGAGTGCACAAGAAAATCACCTGTGGAATAAAAACAAATCATCCCACAAAAACAGCTTCTTGTACCCCAGTGTAGGTATACTGAGTCAGAATCTCCAGGAGGAGGGTCCAGGAATGTTAAGTTTGAAAAAGCTTGCTGGATGGTACTGATTGGCATCTCTGGTTGTACAAGCATCACCACTATTTAATTCCAGAACATTTTCATCTCCCAAGAAAGAATCTCATATTCATTAGCAGTTATTTCCCATCACCCCCCTTGCCCCCCATCCGCTCCTGGCAATCACTGTTCTACTTTCTGTCACTGTAGATTTGCCTATTCTGAACATTTCATATAAAAGAAATCGTACAATGTGATCTTTTGTGTCTGGCTTATTAGCGTAATGTTTTCAAGGTTCATCCATGTTGTAGCATGTATCAGTACTTCATTCCTTTTTATGACTGAGTAGTATTCTATTGTATAACCATACAGTAGGTTTTACCACATTTTATTTATTCCTTAGTGGATGGACATTTGGGTTATATAGTCTTTTCTCACTTTTTGGCTATTAAGAATAATGCTATGAACATTTGTGTACAAGGTTTTGTGTGAACATGTGTTTTCGTTTCTTTGGGGAATTGCTGGGTCATGTGGTAAATCTGTTTTAACTGTTTAAGGAACTGCCAGACTGCTTTCCAAAGCAGCTGCATCATTTTATATTGACATTAGTTGTGTATGAGGGTTCCAGTTTCTCTACATCCTTGTCAATACTTGTTATTACTGTCTTTTTGATTATAGCAGTCCTGTTGTTGTATGCTATCCAATCGATTCTGACTCAGTGACTGTATAGGACAGAGTAGAACTGCCCCATAGGGCTTGGAAGGCTGTAATCTTTATGGAAGCAGACTGCCACATCTTTCGCCCAGTAGCAGCTGGTGGGTTTAAACTGCTGACCTTTCGGTTAGCAACCAAGCGCTTAACCACTGTGCAACCAGGGCTTCTTGTAGCTATCCTAGTGGTATAGGTTGTGTGAAGTGGTAATCTCATTGAATTGCATTTGCCTTATGGCAGATGATGTTGAGTATCTTTTCATGTGCTTATTGGCCATTTGTATACTTCTTTGGAGAAATGTCTGTTGAGATCCTTGTCTTTTTATTGGTAAGTTGTAAATAAGAGCTCTTTATTCTGGATAATAGACTTCTATCAGATATATGATTTGCAAGTATTTTCTGCCTTTCTTGATGGTGGTGTTTGTAGTACAAATTTGTAAAATTTTGGTGAGTCCAGTTTATGTATTTTTTTCTTTCATTGCTTGTACTTTAATGTCATATTTAAGAAATTTTTGCCTATTCCAAGGTCATAAAGATTTACACCTGTTTTCTTCTAAGAACTTTTATAGTTTTGTCTCTTACATTTAGATCTTTCATCCATTTTGAGTTACTTTTTGCATATGGTGTGAGGTAGTGTTCCAGATTCATTCAAGTGCCATGTGTATATCCAGTTGTTCTAGCACTGTTTTTTGAAAAGCTTATTTCTCCACTGAGTTGTCTTGGCACCCTTGTTGAAAATCAATTGGCCATAGATGTCTGGGTTTATTTCTGGACTCTAAATTCTGTTCCATTGATGTATATGTCTATCCTTATGGCAGTCTTTATAACTTTAGTCTTGAAATAAGGAAGTGTGAATTCTTCAACTCTGTTTTTCTTTTTCAAGATTGTTTTGGCTGTCTTGGGTCCCTTGCAGTTCCATATGGATTTTAGGGTTTAGCTTGTCAGTTTCTGCAAAAAAGGCCATTTGAATTTTGTTGGAAGTTACATTGAATCTGTCAATCAATTTAGGGAATGTTGCTGTCTGTGGAAGGCTGAAAAATGCTCTCTTCTCCCAAAAGATATGTGTCCTAATCCCTGAAACCTATGAGGGTTACTTTATATGGTA